ACAGGCAGACATCCAGGAGCGTCTGCAAACTGCCGGTGGATGGGGAGACCAGGAGGCGTCACACAGCTCCTCCACACCTGGAAAAAAGAGACCCCGGGCTGTGAATCGCCTCCGCCTCCCCCCCCTCAGGCCGCTCTCGAGGCCAAGCCCTTCGATGCCCCAAACACCGACAGGCATGTCCCGAGCGGTGGGGACTGAGGCACGAGTCTTGCTCTGCTCTGTCCTCCCCCGACAGTTCCCTCCACAAACAATTTAAAGTTTTGAGACCATCTTCTCCTGGAGGCAGCTCACTCCACGCCAACCCACCTTACCTGCAGCTTCGGTCACTGCACCAGGCGGTAGGGGATGTAGCGTCACGCCGTCTCACGCTCGGCCGGATGATCTTCACTACCTGCAAGGCCGGCAGAAGGAACTCAGGAGGGAGAGAAGCCGCGGCACTTCCCCTGCGGGGATTCCCTGCCCGACGCAGGCGTGTGCTCAGACCCAGCAGCGTGGCTGTGCAGCCGCGGCACTTGGTGGCCACTCAGCAGTGGCCCAGGCTGCCACCTCTGCGCCAGAAGCCTGCTCAGACCCCCCCACACCTGACCTACCAGAGCTTTTACCTTTGAGAGAGACCCTTCCTGCCCCAAGAGTTCTGGAACACTGCAGAGATCTCCCCTCCTTGCCCTGCCTGCTCAGAACTGCTGCCCCAATCTGTTCCTCTCACCTGCCCACGCTTTATCCCGAAGTACCGGGCCACAGGATCCCCGGCCTGGATCCGCGGGAGCTGGTTCTCTCTCAGTTTGCTGCATTGGGAGTCAAGGAGGAGCCCCCCAGCAGAACAGCCCCTGCCCCGGCGCCCCTTCGACAGACACAGAAATAAACCCCTGCGCACGGACGTCTGCGTTCCCAGCCCAAAGCAAACACGCCTCACACCCAGGCGGGAAGGAAGGAACAAACAAAGGATACTATCGGGCCAGGAGCTCCGTTACTTCTTCCTTTGTCATGACAACGTGCTCCGGGACCAGCTGTGAACAACAGGGGAGGGAGGGTAAGAGGGTAAAGCCAGAGAACACGGCTGGCTCCTCACAGTGGCGGGAGAAGCAACAGGTTTGTGAGGAAGAAAATGACGACTGTGCTGCTCAGCCTGGCCTTCCAACTGCAGGAACAGCCTGAGCCGCAGCTCAGCATGAGACGGATCCTCCTGCCCTCGCTGCACTGCCTGATGCTGCTCACCTCGTGTTCCGTGATGTTGATCAGAAGCTCTTGCTGCAGGAACTGCTCCAGGATGTATTTGGGGGCCATATCTACCAGGGACTGGAAAGGGGAAGCTCTGTCAGGCAGCAGCACTGTGCAGAGAGAACCCTGGGGGTGCTGGGGGCTGCTCCTTCACCAGCACCGTCCCTGCTGCTGGCACAAACACAGCTGCGCAGGCACAGAGCACACAGATCTCTGCCCACTGCCCAGTATCCCCTTTCCTCTCGACCTCCTGACACCAACGGGCCCTCGGCTGTTCTGGCACCAGAACCAGTCGCTCTGGTTAAGAACACTTCTGCGTTAAGATACAAGAGGCTTCAACTAGAGACTTTATCTGGAAGGAAATTCAAGGCTTTTATCAACCTGCAGCAGCACTGAAACGCAGGCAGCAGAACACCCACGGCCCACAACTCCCCTGCCTGTGGGACAAGCTCTCTTCCCAGCGCTCCGTACCTGCTTGGCCGAGGGGGTCATGCCTTGCTGCACCACGATTAGCGCCCTGGTGATGTTCTCCTCCTGCATCCGCTGG